TGAAGCTGTATGGTCCTTGTTCCCATGAAAGTGTGTGTATTGGGACTGAAATTCACTTCAGGGTATCACACATTTCTCTTATCTCAGTTGTAGCAAACGTTTAACTAATGTGTGAGACGCAGTGGGTAGGTTGAGTTTGATCTGAATGGTAACAAACATTATGCCCTCTTGAGGATACTAAGTTCTTTCTGGTTATAGTGGCTAGTTTTCCTGTAGCTTATTCAACCAAAATCTGTATTAATCCAGGTCAAGACAAGTTGAAAATCATGTTAAATGTCTGAGTGAGTTAAACAACTAAATATTCATGCCACAGTAGGACATTTCAAGGATCGTGATTAGGGATTAATTAAAGTAAATTACAATCAGTAGTTATTTAATACCCATAATCATTAATTAGGTTATGTTTTATTCACATGACTAGTCATCAGAAGTACTCCGTTAATAGGCACCATTTTTTCAGAACATGAGGCATAGTACACATTCAAAGATCAAAGTGAATCCACATTGTCAGAAGGTGCTTTTCAGCTAGTGGAGCATTCTCTCCAGACGGAAGCTCTGACATTACTGCTTATCGTTAATGGAGGTGAGTTCAGACACAGGTGCAGGATTGTGCCAAGAGCAACGGGCTAAACAGTTCTAATCTAGAGGTTGGCTCATTGTAATTGAGTTTAAATCAGAGTCCATGACACATTTGTAATGACCATTGCCTGGTCTAGCTGAGTGGGCCTTTTGAATCATTGAGCCATTGTCTGATCTGCACTTGGTGTGTGTATGTGTGTGTTTATTTCACCTTTATTTACAATGACGACCTGTCAAACACATCAATAAACAACAATTACACTATACAGATCAATTACACAATACATGAAAGCAAACATAAAACACGAAAAGCAAAACACATTCATATGAAACAAACATTCTTCAGTAAAAAGGCCCTCTAACATCCGCCTGAATTGCCCTAAAGGCACCAAATCAACCAACTTTACTGGCTTTTGGAGATGAGAGGCGCAAAAAAAAACTAAGAGCAGATTTACTTAATTCCGTGAAGATTGAAGGGAACTCCATGGTTAGCCGTCACTGAGTCTGGTAACTTATACGTCTGAAGGTTAACAATGAGGTATGGCGGAAGTTTATGCAAGAGGGCTTTATAGACAAAAAGAGCGTAATGCGTCGATCTACGAGACTTTAAGGAGGGCCAGCCTACTTTCTGATACAAAATGCAATGATGTGTACTGAACCTATGACCCGTAATAAAGCGCAATGTGCTATGATAAGGCTAATTGATGAAAGCCTCTGAATAAGTAATGAGTGATACACAGTGTCGAAGGCTTTAGACAGGTCAATAAAAAGGGCAGCACAATGTTTCTTCTTATATTTCTTATTATTATTATTTGTGTGTGTGTGTGTGTGTGTGTGTGTGTGTGTGTGTGTGTGTAAAGGGGGTTTCTGGGGGGTTTGGGGGAGGGGTGACTGGTGACTGGTGACTGGTGCCAGTCTTCACATTGCTCAGTTACAATGACATGGCTTGTGCTGAAGAGGACTCTAACATCTACCCTGACCCCTTATAACAGCCGTTGCCGTGGTGACCCAACATAATTAACAAATGAATCACCTTGGAGTTTCTCAGCTCAGACACATCAAGGTCTGGTTGGTCAGGTGGAGAGAGGGGGTGGACCGTAGGCTGAATCCCAGACACAATACTGGGCGGGGTAGAGGACAGGGGTGGAGCCAAAGTGGGACCCAGGTGGCCACTTGGAGACAAATATAGTGCGTTAAAATGGGATCAGGGCACCTCTTAATCATCATTAGAAGGCTAGACACTTTATATTAATGTATTATTTTATACAATTTCCTAGTTCTGGCTCTTGTCATTTTTCTACTTACATTATAGTGAGGGTAGCAGTTGTAGCTTCTTGAAATTCAGCTCATGATGGTTTGGTGAAGAGTCGGAATATGCTTTTTTTATGCTGTGAAAAATTCAACCACATACTGTAGGTTCCATATCAAAAGCTTATTTGAATGGTCATTTCTTATATAAACCATGGGCAACCCTTGCCTTTTAAGAAATAAAATCTCCTACTTTTGATTTTGATATTCATTATTTATCTCTCCCTCATAATAAAGCTGTTACTTAATTAAAGATTAACACTTTGTTGTAGGTTATGTACATGTGTTGTGTTCAATTGTTTCTGTAACATTTTCAGTTGAGAACAAGGGTGTGATTGTAAAAGCTGTATGCTTCAGGTTAGCCTCAAGACTTCTTTGACAGACCATTGATAAGGTCCCTATCCCCACACCCAGCTCAGGACAAGGGCAGCCAATTCAGTAGATTTCACACCCGAGCATAGCCTATGAGCATCGACCGAGGAAAGCAATTATAGCTCAGCTGTTCTTGAAAAGGGGACTTTCACAGGCCAAGAACCCCAACCCTCAAAATTGTCAGAGTGCCAGAAAATATGAATGCTATTCTTTCATTAGTTCAGTTACATACTGAAGGCTTGCTCTATTTAGGCTATCAAAATATAATTTAGCCTGAGTAGACTATAGGCAATGTTGTTCTGTGTGTCCTTGGCTGTATGGGAAAATATACTTATCATCTCAACAATAAGTTGATTGTGCTATTTAAATTCCCCCATTCTATTGTCTATGGAACCAATTGTTACATTATAATCATTGGCATTAATCTCTTGACCAATCCATGAATGTCAACTATCTGTCCTATTTGATTGTTTATATCAAACGTCAACCTAGGATACTGACAGTGCACTTCCACCAGCAGAGTCTTGGAAATCCTTCCTGTTCTCAGCACATCTTAAACATTAAACATGGACAACTCTTTCAGGGGGAGACAGTGGAGGCACCCAATTGTGCTATTAGTGAGGACAAGTGTTGAATGCTCCGAAGGCCTATATGAGGAGTGTTTAGTGGAGGTCCTAGTTGGCAGGAGAAGGGGGCTTTTTCAAAGGATGTCTGATGCCATTTTTCCACAGTTCACTTGAAGGAGAGCAGCAGCTGTGATAAGATGGGCAAGAACAACAAACAGGAGAGGAGTGAGAGAGTGAGAGATTGCAGCTGTCTGAAAAAGATCTGGGAAATAACAAAAGACTAACTGTGGACATTGGGTTACCTAACTGTTAACCTGGAGGCTCATCCATGGAATACCATGATGTCACTTAAAGAGCAAGAGGGCTTGATGTATGGTTGAAGTTGTTTGAAGAGGGTAACACCATATCCTGGACTCCAAATGGAGGCATTTTTTTTGTTGACTGGCTCGTTTTAGTCTGTACACTACCACATATTTTTGGAAAGCCGAGTAGCATGACACAAATAGTGGGGAAAACACAGAGGTGGGTGCAAAACAGCTGTCTCTTCTAAGACAACATCACACATGCACAGCTGGGATGAAGGAACATGACTGATTATGTTTTCACCCCTCCAAAAGAAGCCATATATTCAGGTTGTGTGATGATTTGATAAGGGCCACGGTTGACTGCGGTTCCAGAGCAGACAGGATGGGGGTGGACAGGGGTGTTAAGCAGTCAAATTTTGGATTGTTTTTGCCACTTCCATTATGACCATCCTCAGGGCAAGCTTGCTGGTGAGATCAATCACAAATAACATACATTGGTGGTGCTGAGGGATTTATTGACTCATAATGAGAAACAAGACGTCCATTAACAAAAGCATGCCATAGTCTCTCTCAACATGGACTAGGATCTGACCAAGATACATTTTCTCATTCTAGAGTGAATTGTTGAGTGAGGTTATGGCTTGATATTTGGGATATCCTACAGTACAATGGTGTTAATGGTGTTACTACTTGAATGGTGTTGCCTCAGGTGAGTGGGTGGGTAAGTAAATACATTAAATATATCAAATTACTTGGCCTGTATTGTCTCTTAAAGCACAGAATGACAGAGGGTGACATGAGTGTGCAATATCTCACAGTTTTGCTTAAGGTTGGCCACTGTCTAGCCAGGTAACACCAGAAAATGGGAGACTATTGAAAAACAAATGTGAAAAGGAACTGTAATGCCCCTAAATATGTATAAATATGTTTCCACTGTCCGTGCAAAAACAGGATAATATGGACATGACAGTATGGACATGACAGTATGAAAAAAATATATATGATTAAGAGTATAAGATCGCTATGATTGGTGATAAAGTAACTAATGTTACAATGTAATTATTAGTTAGAATATAATATTATTTGTAATTATTATTATTTTATTCTTTGTCGTTCTTGTTTCTTTCACAGGCATAAACGTTGAAGCGGTCACCATCACAAGATCTGAGCTCGATTATTTTGTCTCGATAGGCTTCTCAAAATTGAATCTTCCTGTCTGGTTTGTCGTGTTTACATGAATGGCTAGAATGACAGCGTCTTTAGATGGGAGCCTGCAAACATTTTTATTGATTGTGTCAACCAGGGTGTATGTCAATCCAATTATCCCATTGGTAGCAATTGGTTAGCGCGTTATATACGCTATGTAAGGTGAGATCCGTTTTCTATTTTAGCTGCTATAGCTAGCTAGCATAACATGCTAACTAGCTAGCTGATAGTGGGTAGGGTTTCCATTAGCATTAGGAGTAGCAGACTAGAGATGTTTTTTCTTCTTCAATGTGTCATTTTTCAAATTTCTGTTAATCTCAGTTCATGTTATGTCATTGGTAATCAGGAATAATAGCTTTAGCTAGCCACTTAATAATGTTGCACAGCTTGAAAGTTAGCTAACTATGCTGCTTAGCGTAACTGATAGCATGCTAGCTAACTAGTGTAAGCAAGTTTTGAAACGTAAATGTAGTTCAATGGCAAACCTTAACACATGTTCTTGTCTTCTGTAGGGAACACTAATATGGATGTAGTGAACTTTGCTTCCTGTGTCATTGGGAAATGCCTGGATACTTTTTGCCTTCTACTGGACTTGGTCATCTGGTTTGTGAATTGGCTAGGCCGACTTTTCTCCAACATGGGTTTATCTCTGCACGACCTGCAAATGATGCCGAGTGGCTCCACCTTACTAGAATACTGGAACTGTGCCCTGTTCTCCTTCCTCACTGTAACAGAGGTGGTCACAAGCACAGCACACGGAGCTTTCAATGTACTGGAGGGATGGCTTCAGACCTTAGGAGGGGTGTTTGAGAGTTTCAAAATGGTGGGCCACCTCTCTTCTCATGTTGCATGGCGCACCAAGGAGCTGCTACACCGCGGACTACTGTCTGGACATACTGTGCTTAAACAGACTTGTGACGGTTTTAGCATCGCGTTCAGCCTCGTTCTCTACTTTGTCAACACTATCGTCAACATTCTCCTCATTGGTACCCAGAACTGCTTCTCTGCAATGGTAGGGGCCTGGGAGGCAGTGTCAGGCCCCCTGCATAAAGCCTTGGAATTGGCCCTCACACTTCTCACCTTCCTATACAGCTGCCTGGTGGGCACCTCTGTACTGCTTTGGACACCCTGCCAGCTAGCTCTTGAGTTTCTGGGCTCCCTTGGTCATGTCTTTATCACAGTGTTCATGCTCAACATCTATGGCTTGCTCCTAACAGCGGTCATTGTTGCTTTGACCTTGCTATATCTCAACCCTGAGCTGCCTCGTTGTGTGGCCCAGCAATGTCTTCACTTTGTCAACGTAATCCCAGGAATGCAAAATCTACAGAGGACCATCTATAGACTTTACCTGCTGGCCATGGAGCGAGCTCAAGCTCTTCAGGACAATGCTGCTGGACCACAGGCTATGGGGCAGGTGGCCCAAGCAAGACAGCCAAGGGGCAGAACAGTACAGCCTTCTGTGGACCAAGGTGGAGTGGGGCACCCAGTTCTGGATCCAAGGGCCCCAGGTATTCCTACTGACCATACAGGTACCCTTCTTCCCCCAGAGCAGACTGGAAGAGAACAAGTGGAGTTATACTCAACACTTGAACACCTCGACACTAGGTGGGATGACATCAACCTTAACCCAGACCAATACCACCACCAGTCTACAACAAGGACTACAGTGAAGCAGCAGCCTGCCTCTGGCCAAGGCAGCCAGGCCCTTCCAGTTGACACTGGCCTCCTCAGCCTATTGAAGGAGCATGAGGAGAGGAAGAAGTGCGTAATCTGTCAGGACAGGGTCAAGAACGTGTTGCTGCTGCCCTGCCGCCACCTGTGCCTGTGTCGCCACTGCTCGGCCATCTTGCTACAGCAGCTCCCCCAGCAGCACAACTGTCCCCTCTGCCGACAGGCCATCACACAAACCATGGACGTCTTCCTCTGAGAGACCCAGGGACCTGGTAGTGCACTTTGGGGTACCATTTCAGACACGCCCCCAGAGTTAAAGAGCGGGACGCTGAGATAAATATATAGAAAGAAATGCAGCCAGTCTGAAAACAACCCCAGTTAGCAATATGGGGATGGCTCCAGCTCGCCTTCCAATGGGCTTTAAAAGAGCTTCTGCCATGTTGCTTATTTCTTCTGTACATTTTAGATCTGCAAACACTGAAGGGGAAGACTTTAAACTCAGGATAATGAGTGATGATAGACATCCACAATGTATAGCTGTGCTGATAAAACACAACTCTTGTCCACTGTCATGTAAAAAATGGTACTGTATGTATGGTGCCTATTTAGTGGGGTGGAACATTCAGATAGACATTCATTTTATAGACTAGCATTGACTATAGAGTTTTGTTGGCTCTGTGCAGTACATTTCTATCAATGCTCTGCCCCGAATAAGCCCATAGGGTTTCTGATGCTCACACTTTGCTTCCACCAGTTCAATTAATTCATGTTGCAGCTTGCATTTTAGGCGTTTGGTCCTTTAGGTCTAGTTGATATATTGTGGACATATCCTTGATGGTTTTCCACAGTTGCACTAACTATATTGCACTGGCTACGAAGCTGCTGTTCTGGCTTGTGCAGTGAACAAAATGTTACGTTTGTAATTGAATAGACTTTGAATACTTCCAGTTCCATCTTTCAGGCACATACTGTAGGAGGGCTGCACCAGTACTGTCGATAACTTATGACTACTAGGCCTATAACAATGTATAAATGGTAAAGATGAGGAATAATCCCATTTGTTTGAGAACTAATAAATTCAGAGCGAACTAGACACACTGCTATACTAATATATTTAAAGGAAATGTATATGTATACGGGCAAAATTCTACACTTAAAAGTTTATGATTTGATGAACAAGGTCATGCATTTTTCTATGTTTTGTACCTATGAATGTTTTTTTAACGTTATTCAGATACATGTGTTGTCTATTCATTACCCTTGTCAATGTTTTTGTATCATTTCAAATAAACATGCTACAGGCTATGCCTTGATGTAGGCTATAGTTCCATATTCTTCATGTGTATATGCCAGTGTGTATTTTTCATCAAAACTAACAAGCTGAAATCTACGGAAGTCCAGAGAAGAAATATTAATAAAAAATATTATTCCCTCGTTATGTGGCGATCACAACTTATTTATCTCATGATCACTACATAACAAAAGTTGTTTTCATATGTAAGGCTTCTTGCAGACAGCCTACAAGGCAGCATCCTGACCTATCAGCCTCTGGCTGCTATTGAATCTGAATAGAACACGCCCACTCTTGATCATCACCCCTTGACTTTTAATTTTTTTTCCCCCTCAATCTACACACAATACCCCATGACAAAGCAAAACAGGATTTTAGAAATGTTTGCTAATTTCTTTAAAATAACTGAAATCTCACAATTACATAAGTATTCAGACCCTTTACTCAGTACTTTGTTGAAGCACCTTTGGCAGTGATTACAGCCTTGAGTCTTTTGGGTATGATGCTACAAGCTTGGCACACCTTTATTTGGGGAGTTTCTCCCATTCTTCTCTGAAGAGCCTCTCAAGCTCTGTCAGGTTGGATCGGGAGCGTTGCTGTACAGCTATTTTCAGGTCTCTCCAGAGATTTTAGATCGGGTTCAAGTACAAGCTCTGGCTGGGCCACTCAAGGACATTCAGAGACTTGTCCTGTTGGAAGGTGAACCATCGGCTGACCTAGAGTATGTGGACAACTGCAAATACCTAGGTGTCTGGTTAGACTGTAAATTCTCCTTCCAGACTCACATTAAGAATCTCCAATCCAAAATTAAATCTAGAATCGGCTTCCTATTTCGCAACAAAGCCTCTTTCACTCATGCTGCCAAACATGCCCTCGTAAAACTGACTATCCTACCGATCCTTGACTTCGGCGATGTCATTTACAAAATAGCCTCCAACACTCTACTCAGCAAATTGGATGTGGTCTATCACAGTGCCATCCGTTTTGTCACCAAAGCCCCATATACTACCCACCACTGTGACCTGTACGCTCTTGTTGGCTGGTCCTCACTACATACTCATTGCCAAACCCACTGGCTCCAGGCCATCTATAAATCACTGCTAGGCAAATCCCTGCCTTATCTTAGCTCATTGGTCACCATAGCAACACCCACCCGTAGTATGCGCTCCAGCAGGTATATCTCACTGGTCATCCCCAAAGCCAACACCTCCTTTGGCCGCCATTCCTTCCAGTTCTCTGCTGCCAATGACTGGAACGAATTGCAAAAATCTCTGAAGCTGGAGACTCTTATCTCCCTCACTAACTTTAAGCATCAGTTGTCAGAGCACCTTACCGATCACTGCACCTGTACACAACCCATCTGAAATTAGCCCACCCAAATACCTCATCCCCATATTGTTATTTATTTTGCTCATTTGCACCCCAGTATCTCTATTTGCACATCATCTCTTGCACATCTATCATTCCAGTGTTAATACTAATTGTAATTATTTTGCACTATAGCCTATTTATTGCCTTACCTCCATAACTTGCTACATTTGCACACACTGTATATATATTTTCTGTTGTATTTTTGACTTTATGTTTTGTTTAACCCCATATGTAACTCTGTGTTGTTGTTTTTATCGCACTGCTTTGCTTTATCTTGGCCAGGTCGCAGTTGTAAATGAGAACTTGTTCTCAACTGGCTTACCTGGTTAAATAAAGGTGAAATAAAAAATTTAATAAATAAAAATCGCCCCAGTCTGAGGTCCTGAGCGCTCTGGAGCAGGTTTTCATCAAGGATCTCTCTGTACTTTGCTCCATTCATCTTTCCCTCGATCCTGACTAGTCTCCCAGTCCCTGCCGCTGAAAAACATCCCCACAGCATGATGCTGCCACCACCATGCTTCACCGTAGGGATGTTGCCAGGTTTCCTCCAGACGTGACACTTGGCATTCAATCTTGGTTTCATCAGACCAGAGAATTTTGTTTCTCATAGTCTGAGAGTCTAGGCTCCTTTTGGCAAACTCCAAGCGGGCTGTCATGTGCCTTTTACTGAGGAGTGGGTTCCATCTGGCCACTCTACCATAAAGGCCTGATTGGTGGAGTGCTGTAGAGATGGTTGTCCTTCTGGAAGGTTCTCTCATCTCCACAGAGGAACTTTGGAGCTCTGTCAGAGTGACCATTGAGTTCTTGGTCACCTCCCTGACCAAGGCCCTTCCCCAATTGCTCAGTTTGGCCGGGCGGCCAGCTCTAAGAAGGGTCTTGGTGGTTACAATCTTCTTCCATTTAAGAATGATGGAGGCCACTGTGTTCTTGGGGAGTTTTGGTACCCTTCCCCAGATCTGTGCCTCGACACAATCTTGTCTTGGAGTTCTATGGACAATTCCTTCGACCTCATGGCTTTGTTTTTGCTCTGACATGCACTGTCAACTGTGGGACCTTATATAGACAGGTGTGTGCCTTTCCAAATCATGTCCAATCAATTGAATTTACCACAGGTGGACTCAAATCAAGTTGTAGAAACATCATAAGGATGATCAATGGAAACAGGATGCACCTGAGCTCAATTTCGAGTCTCATAGCAAAGGGTCTGAATACTTATGTAAATAAGGTATTTCATTTTGATTTTTTTATACATTTGCAAAAATGTCTAAAAACCTGTTTTCTCATTGTCATTATGGCGTATTGTTTGTAGATTGATGAGGGACATTTTTTGATTTATTCAATTTTAGAAAAAGGCTGTTGAATCTGATCAAGCTCTGAGGCTGCTATTGAATCTGATCAGCCTGTCAGGAATGTAGCTCACACACTCTGTACATTTTAATATTATCCATAAAACATGAAGTGTCCCTTACAATTATACACATATCAGTTATGCAAGCTAACAACCAGCATAGATAACTGGCTAGTTAGCTAACAAGATTACCTAGCTAACTAGCGAGCTAGTTCGCTCACAAGACTAGCCAAGCTAGCTGTGTTGTTGCTTGCATGCGATTGGCTGTGGTCTTGGGGGTGGCACACAGCCTGGGAGACAGTGCTGCCTGTCAGGCATCGTTCAGGGCTTAAATGTCCCACGAGGGCTTAGCTGCCCCAAGAGCCCTTAGCTCAATGGTAACAATTAGCTTGCTAACATTCTAACTTATAAACTGATAATGAGCTCCAAACACAAATGAAAGCATGGTTAGCATGAAATGTACCATCCCTTAGTGTAGCAATCAATAAAAACGTATGCACTGATCCACCATGGGCTCTGCCGCCTCAGCCAAACTGTCAATCTATGATCAATACCTCCACTCCTATTTATAGTTTCTCGGGATCTCGACAAAACAACTTTTATGTCATGATCATAAGAAACTTGTTGTGATCTCGACAAAAAAACGTTTATGTTGTGATCATGAGAAAATTATTGTGATCTCGACAAATCTATTGTTAGGTCGTGATCATGAGATAAATAAGTTGTGAACTCGACATAACGAGGGAATTCTTTTTTTATTCATATGTCCTCTCTGGACTTCCGTAGAGATCCATATTTTACATATCGATACAATTTGTCTAGTGTTGTGACTACATTAGTAAGTAACACTTCACCATACCTTTATTTGTCACACACTGGGAACTAAGCAAAACTGAAATGTTAACACCACTGCAGATGGTGTGTGTACGCCATAGGGCATGGTGGTAGACTATTCATGTTTGTTTTATTCATTGACATAAATCTGGATGATGGATGTCTCACACACAGTGACCCCCAGATATTTTTTGCCAAGGAAAATAATATGCTTACAATGCAGTTTTAAGTGTTTCGTTGTTTTGGTAATCATATTCACTGTATGAGCTCTGATTTGTCATTGTGTCATTTTAAATGGTACTGTGAGACTGGTGTGGGCTACAATGGGCGTGATCTTTCACCTGCTCCCCTGTCTATTCTTCAATGTATGAAGAACAGTAGTTTAATACATAGCAGTTCCTCGGTTGAAAGT